GCCAGCTGGTTTGCCCTGAAGGGTGTCCCGGATTAGGATGAAGGTCCCACTTGGGTGCCTGGCCAGCCTGGGTGAGGGGCTGATGGCTGTTTGCAGCTGGTCACATCCCCTTCAGGGTGGGGGTCCCCACTGGGGTGCCTGGCCAGTCTGGGTGAGGGGCTGAGGGCCGTTTTCAGGCTGGCGGGCGACTGAAGCTCCCAGCCTCTCCTTTTTTTCTTTTTTTTTTTTTATTCTTGGATTTATTTACCTTCTATAATTGAAACTTTGTTGCCATCACTGGAGCTGAGAGCCACTCCTGCTCGCTCCAGCTCTGAGGCCACGTCCTGCTGAAAGCAGGTATCTGGGGTTTGTTTAGCTTCTATAATTGAAACTTTGTTGCTTTTGGAGCTCAGAGCAGGCGGGGAACCTTGGCTTCCTCTATCACTGGAGCAAGCAAGCCTCCTGCTCGCTTCAGCTGCGTGGCTGCCGGCCGCCATCTTGGTTGGGTTAATTTGTATATCATGCTGATTAGCCAATGGGAGGCATAGCGAAGGTACGGTTAATTACCATGTTTGTCTATTATTAGGTAAGACTAGAGGCCCAGTGCACAAAATTCGTGCACTCGGGGGGGGGGTCCCTCCGCTCGGTCTGTGCCTTCTCACAGTCCAGGAGCCCTCAAGGGATGTACGACTGATGGCTTAAGCCCATGGGGAGCAGGCCTAAGCCGTCAGTCATACATCCTTAGAGCTGCCGTGGAGGCAAGAGAGGCTCCCGCCACCGCTCTGCGCCTGCCAGCCATGAGCCCAGCTCAGGGCTTCTGGCTGAGTGGAGCTCCCCCTGTGGGAGCACACTGACCACCAAGCGGCAATTCCTGCATTGAGCATCTGCCCCCTGGTGGTCAGTGTGAGTCATAGCAACCGGTCATTCTGCCATTCTGTTGATTTGCATATTAGCCTTTTATTATACAGGATGAGGTCTGGCTACACAGGAAATAATCCAGTGAAAGAAGGGGATAAAGGTATAATAAAAATTAAATGGGGCTTATTTGTTGGAATACAATGTCCTAGGGGAAGAAAAATCAATTATCAAAATAAGGTATTAATCAAATAGTTATTTAAGTACTATAGGATGCTCCAGGCATTATATATACCTAAAGCAGCTGGCTTGCTCTTTTCAATCAACCACATCTTCACTCTGTTTAAAAGACATTTAAGGTATTTGTTCATTGAATATTTCAGTATCAATTATAAAGACTTCAAAGGGTCATCATGAAGATTTAGTAAGCATAAGATCAGAAGGAAGAATGACAAGATAAGCGAAGATAAATATAAATTTATTAATATCTGCTAAATATCTCAATGACTTATGCAGTATCTGAAAATTTCCTCATGTTTTGTTGCAGTATATGAGGGTTGGTCAGCTATGTCCCACAGGCCAAATCTGACTTCCTGTCTGTTTTTGTAAATAAAGTCTTATTGAAATACAGCAATGTTTATTTCTTTATGTATTGTTTATGACTGCTTTCACATTTGCTATTGTAAATAGAGTTGCATAGTTGGATTTCAGTAGCGACTGTATGGCCTACAAAGCCTAAACCATTTACTCTCTGGTCCTTTGCAGAAAGTTTGCTAACCTATAACATAAAATGATAGTCTGCATCTTGGCCAATCATCTTTCAGTTAAACACTTCACGTGCAATTCTTTATGGACTCATTCAGAATATCGATTATTCACAATTTCCAGTTCTTCCTGTAGAAATATTATTCTGTGTAAATTACCTCTTGGACATTGTTTTAACCCTTCATAACAATACCGTTTGAACATTTAACTTCAAAATACTGAATGGCTGATTTGAGAGATTTCTATATAATATGCATTGATCTATACCCTTTTATATAGAGGACTGGAGAGCATCCACAGATTTTGGTATCTTCTGGGAGTCCTGGAAACATTGCCCTGCAGATACCAAGAGACAACTTAAGTTTCTGTGGAGTCAAAAATTATATGTGGTTTTCGGACTGTGCAGAGTGAGGGGAGAGGGGGCTTGGCACCCCCAGCCCTTGCATTGTTCAAGGATTAACTGCATATACTTTTCTACCCCATTCTACTAAGATCAACTTACACAGTGGAAGAATTTGATTCCCTATTATAATATTTTAAATACTAGTTAACTTATAATAATTTTTATGTAGTCTTTTTAATCCCAAATTCCATTTTCCTAACCAGATCTCATTTTCACTCTATTGAATATAAAATTGACAAAATTTTCTTAATATGTTTTAAGGTTGTCACTTAGCAACTTCATTAATGATATCAACATCTTATGGCATTGTTCAGATTTACTAACTTAGTTGAGTCCATGAAAGGACATTAGTTTAGCAAAGATTCAAATATGTTACATATTGTTATTCATAAAGAAAGCAGCACTACTTGCAGGATGTTCAAAAAGAATGGGAATTACTATGAAAGAGAATTGTCACCATCTCTTGTATTCAAAATGAATGTGAACAGAACATATGTAACAAGTGAAATAAAGTAAAACAAATCAGTTTTGAATGATCAGAAGGAGACATATTACTTGTCGCCACTGATTCAAAATAATATTGTAATATTTGAATTAATCTTGGAGAAGGGCATAAACTTATTCTGGTAAAAAAAATGAAATTCACAAACCAGTATGAATTGAACCACAGGAAGTCAGCATATTTCTAGAAGGAAAAATGCAATTGCTTTTGTTTGACAGGCCCTGCTAAGAAAGAGAATTCTTCAGTATTTGAAATGTGTCTGATTGCATTACTAGTACTTGTCCAATGATAGTTTTACCATTTTTTACCAGTGTGGTTGAAATTACCCCAAAAATGAAATTAATTTCTCTGGATGAATATTTATATGCATACCACTAGTAAAACAGTTAACATTTTTAGCATTCTACAGTTTACAAATCACTGTGGTATTTTTTAATCCTTAAATTCTGTTATTGGAACAAGATTCCTGAGTGTATTTTAGTAAAGAGAGACAAGTGCACAAATTACATACTATCCATCTAGGCAGGTTTTTATTAAACTTTGCCTGATGGTGGAATAGTTCCATTTATAAAACTCTGTACATCAAAGGGCTTTGAATTTGGCCAGGCTGTCCATTAATTGATCTCTGAAAAAGTTAAGTGGGCATTTAGTTTTAGCTACTGTATTTTACAACATTAAAAAGAAATCCTCAGGAAACCCTATAAAGGTAGGTGTATTTTAAAAGCAATGGTATTCGTTTGAAGAAATAGGATCAGCTGCAGGATGCACATTTACTTAGTGGGTATAAGTAAGACTAGAGCCATGGTACCTCTTGATTCTCAGGCCAGTACATCTTCCAAAATATCATGAACTCAATCTTTATATAGACCAAAAAGGCTCAGTGTTTAAGAACACGCGTCTTGAAGTCCAACAGCCACTGTTTGATTCTTCATTTACCCATATATGCTGTATGAGCTCACTATGCCTCCATTTCCTCCCTGGGGGAAAAAAATGAGTAAAATAAAATCAGCTTTGTGATACAGAGATAACAGCATATGGCATTCACTAAATAGCCAGAAAATAGTCAATATCATTAGAGAGAATACTTTAGCTCGATTAAACAGGTCTAGTTAGCAATTTTGTCTCACTTCTCTGGTTATTATAAAGAAAGGACATTTTAACCTTTTTTGTCACCATTCCCTACTTCAAGCATGTCAAACTCATGGCCTGCGGGCTGCATGCTTCGTTTATTTGGCCCATGTTAGCCTTTGAGTTTGACATGCTTGCCCTACTTGTATCATTGCAGTGTGGAGAGCCAGCACAAGGGTGCTACAAAATAAGAAAGAGGTGCCACCTTACAACTGTATTTGGCTATAAATATCTAGACATTATTATTAGCAAAGATCCTTAATAGAGTCAGCAACTAAGACAAGAAATAGAGTGTAATCATTGCTGTGTCTGGTTATTGCTGGTTATTAATCACAGTTTTAATTATTTATAGGAATGTTTAATGAATCTATATTCCACAGAGGCTATTCATGAACCAGGAGTGGGGTGGGAAAAGGCATTTCTAAAAAATAACATCTGAGACTCTTTCAACTGTCAAATTGCTTCAGTTCTTTTCTATTGCTTTAAAAAAAATCAAATAGATGAAGAGGTATATAATAGTCTCAATGACCTTATCCCTATCCACCTTCATCCCAAGCAAATGAAAGCTACTAGAATGAGAAGGAATGGCTGAATTATTGAACCAGATTTTTAGTAGAAACAGATACCAAGTGATGAGCTCCCAAAAAAAGTTCAAATTCTCCCTCTTCATTCAATACAAATTCCTAATTATTTTTTTAACAATATGGATAGATTTTTTTTTAACTTTAGCAGATGTACAATGTTTTTTGCTAAAATGTTTAGCTATTGGAAGGAAGCCAAGGTAACTATATAGGAAAAATTCTTAATTTGAGGGAAAGAGAGGAACAGCCTCAAGAAAATTCGGTTACATACACATATATGTAGATGTGTATTCATATGTGAACAAAACACAGGCACTTAATTAAATTCAGGTATCTAAAGCTAATTATCCAAAGACTTACATTTAATTTAATTCTTGACGCTATCACCAGCAATGTCATGATACTGAACTGGTTACTTAGCCTGTTTCTTTAATTATTTAATGAGAACATTAATACTTACACTGCCCATCTGGTAGCATTTGAAATAGTTTATGTAAAGCCCTTTCTGCTGTACAAAGCAATACATTTGAATAAAAGATTTTGCTGGATTTTTATCTATGCAAAGAAATAATCAGAATTTTAAATATTTGCCTTAGGTGATCCGGAAGGGAGAAGTCAGCTGCTGTTGGACCTGTACACCATGTAAAGAGAACGAGTATGTCTCTGACGAGTACACCTGCAAGGCGTGCCAACTGGGGTCCTGGCCCACCGATGATCTTACAGGTACTAGTACATGCATCACAATGTCAGCATAGGTGCAGCTCTCTCTCTAAAAAAAAAAAAAACCCTGAAGAAGACACAAACATGGGAGGAGGGAGTCATATCAACAAGCATTTTTCATCTTGATGGCCTTGGCTTATGAATTTCCTTCAGAACAGAAACCTCCCAACCTGGCTAATTGTGAAAATCTATAGATCTTACAGAGAGATTGGCTTATATTCCCACCCTTCCCAACAAACTAGATCAGAATCCCCAGGTTCTCATGCCATCCTGAAGATATTCTCAGAAATTTCTATGCAGGACCCCAGGTTACTGTCATTTGAGGAGGAAAGAGCTATTGGCCAGGAAGAAACTAAGATATGTCATGACATATCCAAGAGTAAAAAGGTTACACAGAATTGGGGAGATATTGATCTAAAACTCTTTGTTTCTCTTAGTGCTTTTCCTTAATCTAAACCAGGGACTTCCAACTAATGAGTTTTTAAATACTGTCAGCACAGGGCATGACTGATGTCTGATTGTTTTTTGTTTAGTTTTTCAGGGGGTATGGTAGGAGGTGTTTGTTTTGTGTTATTTCGGTTTGGGTTTATTTTCTGCAAAAGATGTTAAGGAATGTGTCATTGTGTTCTAAAAATTATATTTCTAATTTTTACAATATAAAAACAGCATAAGATAGCTTTCATCTTTCTTTATAATTTATTCAATGTATGTTATATGCCTGTTTGCCTCACTGAAATAAAGATACAACCTCTATCTTAACTTAATGAGGGAGGCAAAAAGATAAAAATATGATTCCAGTTAATTAACAGATTTGTGCACATAGGAGTATGAGGAGTGGTCCTATGAGACTAAGTTTTCAAAGAAAATAGAGAAAAAAACATCTCGATGCTTCATTTATGCTGGGAAAATATTTTTAAAATCTAAACTATAAGATGGAACTGTTAAAGTGGTCATAGATCTAGCTTAATTTTATAATTTTCATCCACAACCCTTATTAAAAACTATATAGATTGTGGTACAGACAAAATAAATTATTATCTACTTGGATATTTTTTTAAAATCTCGATAAGAGGGCCCACCACGTGCTATGTCAGGTCATCAAATGGTTTTAAAATTAAAATGGATTTAGCACAGCTTTAGGCTAGAAGATTATAGCATCCTCAGTGTTAATCTCCATCCCTCACAGGACAAGAAACTATTCCTGGTAGTTGTATTAGTTTATTCCAAAAGCCTGGTTCTCAAAGTCCTGAGATCCTGGGCCTTTTGAGACCAACTCACATTAAAGCTTTGTTTTCAGTGATTGGTATTTATACAGAAAACATTCCTTTTCTTAAAAAATAAAAAAAAATTATGATTTAATGCAATATCTAAGTGCCGTGTGTTAGCATTTGAATCCTATTTTTTTTACTATAGGACAATGAGGTTTCTGATACTCTTTTTTAAAATATATATTTTATTGATTTTTTACAGAGAGAAAGGGAGTGTGATAGAGAGTTGGAAATATCAATGAGAGAGAAATATCGATCAGCTGCCTCCTGCACATCTCCTACTGGGGATGTCCCCACAACCAAGGTACATGCCCTTGACTGGAATCAAACCTGGGACCCTTCAGTCCACAGGCCAATGTTCTATCCACTGAGCCAAACCAGTCAGGGCCTGATACTCTTATATATCCCAAAACGAACTCAGTGCTGAACACATAGCCTTCAATAATTTAGTTGAATAGATGAACTATAGCCCACTTGCATACACACACAGTAACATGTCAGAAAGAAAAACGAACATGATTGGTTTTTGTGGGAGGGAAGTGAGGAGCAGTATTGTGGTCTTTACTTTTCTACTATTTCTTTACTTTTTTCAAATTTCTAATTTCAACATGTATTGTTATTAAATTGAACAACTATCTTGCCGATTCAACTATCTGCATGGTTAAGCACCTTGAAAGTGAGTCTAATATTTCTTGTCCTACATTTTGTAAAACTATTCTGCTGACAATGGACATGGTCTGCTTCCATATTCATTCAGCAGAAAAAATATTTCTCCTTCTTATTTGCATTATAAAATACATGGTAGAGAAACTGAGATTGAAAACCAGATGTGGTTCTTATATATATTATCATCTTATTAGAAGAGACACATTAATTTCCTCCTCTCTTGCTCTCTCTGTCACACACAGAGACATACATAAACACACACATATGTATAGAAAATGGTTTAAGTAATATAAAGTAAAAGAACGAGATATTTTAAATGAAAATATTAGAAAAGACATAATTTAAATGTATGGCTATACAAGATCTATCTGAAGGAGTGAAAATTAACTGAGACTTAAATGTTAAATAGAAATAGCTAGCAAGAAGAATCATGAGAAGAGCCTTTCTGGCTAAGGAAGAAGCACATGTGAAAGTCTACATATGGGGAAGCAAATGGGAAAATGGTGTCAGAAGAGATCAGAAAGGCCTCAGGGGCTAGGTCAGAGAGAGCCTTGTAGAACATGCCCAAGATATAAGTATTTATTATTAAATACAAGGAGAAACACATGATTGTATGTATACCTTTAAAATATTATTCTAATTTCCATGCGGGAGAATAATTTGTAGAGGGATAGAAAGTGGGATCAGGGAGACCAGTTGGGTGATTACCGCAGGTTGGCACTGCAGGCAAGATTTCTTAGTGTCCTTGCTTGAACTGTGCATCGGAAAATTTGAAATAGACTTTGGAGTAGAATCAAGAGGATATACAGATGAATTGGCTGGAGTAAATATTAAGTAAGGCTACCAAATAATCTGCCGTGAAGGCTGGAGAAATAAATGCATGCTTTCATAAAAATAGTTTGATTGTAAGCAAGATCACTTTGAGATATCTTTGAGCTTATCAAGAGTGAATTAATTAATTTAACAAATTAAGGCCTTACAGTTTGTTCCAGAAAATGTAATAGGAACTGGAAATATAAAACGTAAAATACAGTCTGCGTTTTCAAAAAACTTATAATCTAGTGGGAGAAAAGCATCTACACTCGTAATATAGTATATTAAAGGCTATAGGTAAAAATGAACGAAGTGGTATGAAAAAATAGAGGAGGGCCTACCTAACCCTGAAGAATTTGGGCAAGTTTACCCTTGAGGCATAATCTTGGAGCTCACGTAATACAAAAGTGCAGAACATCTTAGAAAGTGGGTAAGCATCAAGGCTATTAATGGACCATTCTTCTCCTAGTTGCCCCAACCAAAAATCATTGACACTTCCCTATTCCTGAGCACCTTGTCTAGTCACGATCACACCTGGCTGTTTGAATTGCTAAATATTCTTACTCCCTCTTCTCCCTCCATCTGTACAACTCTTCCTGTAAGCATGTTCTTCTCCTCTCACAGTTGGCTAGTACAGTAATTTCCTAGTTTATTTCCCTACTCCCAAATTTATACCACATGCCTCTAAGTCTACTATTCATCTTGCTACTAGATAATGTATCCAAAATACAGAGTTATCCCTTTTATTTCATTGCTCAGCACTTACCAGCATTTTCATATCTCTATAGATATACTCCAAGTATTTCAACATGGCACACAAAGTTCCCTCTCTCCCATTCCTCCTATGACATTTCCAGTGTCAATCACCACCACTTTATAACTTTCATTTTCATTCTAGTGTGAAGGGCTGCTTGTAATTGTCATCTACACACAGTGCTATGTGGTTCTTCCACATCCATACATGTGTTTTCATTTCTGTCCACGATGTACTTACTCCCTGGCGCAGAGGTAGCACTTAGTCAGTGTGTGTCAACCTGCAGTGAAATGATGGGGAGAGGACAAATGAAGACAAACGTAGGAATTAGGACCATCCAATGATTCTAGCCTTTAACCAAAAAGTTTTGACTTTATCCTACAGACAGTGTGGGGCCAGTAGAGGTTTTTCAGCAGAAGAAGGAAATGATTCCTCTAGCTACGTGTGTATTTGTGAGTGTGTGTATGTATGTGGGGAGCGGGAATAAGTGCAAACATGGGGAGATCTCCCCATTGATATTATGTGAACTTTAACATTTAAGTGAGATCTACAGCACTTTTCCAAAGAGCCTATAGCTGTTTGCAATCCTATCTCGGTGACTCTGATGCAACCTAACAGGTCACTTGGAGCTGCTAGCCAGACTGCTCTGATGGCTGCAGCTATCCTAAAAGCCGCCACAGAGATGCCTGGGCTAGCTAGCTTCAGTAAGCTTTTCTTCTACCCACTTGGCTTATAGTTACCTCACTTCGGCCCACAACATGAGAGTTCAGGTCACCTTTGGGTCAGTGCCCTCATTGTGGTAATAGTAACTAACTCATAGATTATGCTTCCTGTGTGCCAGGAACTACTTAAGTATCTTACAAATGTTAATTAAATTAATCCTAACAAAACTGTATAAGATTGTTAGCACAGTTAAGAGATCTGAACCCACTTAGAATGGAATAATTATTTAGAAAAACAACTAGGAGTGGCAATCAACTGACATTACTGTCTTTGTATTTATCTATAGACTTATATAAATTCATAGGAATGTGTCTGCAATGCCCTAACCAGTTTGTCTCAGTGGATATAGGGTCAGCCTGCGGACTAAAGGGTCCTGGGTTCGATTCTGATCAAGGGCATATACCTTGGTTGTGGGCTTGTTCCCCAATAGGGGGCGTGCAAGAGGCAGCTGATATATGTTTCTAACTCTCTATCCCTCTCCGTTCCTCTCTGTAAAAATCAATAAAATATTTTTTTAAGAAAAGAAAAATGTCTGAAATGAAGGTTACCTACTGATAAGAAAAGATGTTTATGAATGGTGGGATTGTGGGTTACTTTTTCATACACATATATATGTGTGTGTAAACATATATGCATATAATTTTGCATTATATTTTAAGGATGTGTTTTCATCAATAAAGCCATTAATATAAATTTTAAGCTAGCCATATTCTTAAAATCCATCATAAACTAGCAGGAAGCAGGGACTCAGAGTTGAGTTAGAAAGAGAAAGGAAGAGA